GCGGGGAGACGAGCGACAGCGGGGCAGGTCCTCCCCCCGGGGTCACCGGGACCCCGCCGTCTGACCTCGGCCTCGAGCGGCCGCCGGACAAGGGCAGCCCCGCAACTCCGGGGTCGTGGCCGGGCCTGCGAGAGGGCCAGTCAGGCGGCCGGCCGCTGACCTTCTCCGAGACCGTCACTGGGCTCGGCCCCCACCCGACTCACCGCCCGCCGGAGACGCTTCGGAGCCGCCGCTCGGAGCATGGTCTGTGCTCGCCGGAGCCTCGAGAACCTTCGGCCTCACAGCAGCTGGACGCGGACACAGGTGCGCCGCCTCAGCCAGTCACGGCAACGCTCGCGAGAGCTCTCGCGAGAGCTGACGTCCCGGGCGGAGAGCACTAGCTCGCGCTTCCCGTCTGCCCATTGGGCGGCCGCGCAGCCAATGGGGGCGGCGGAAAGTTAGGGGCCGGGCTTCGGAGTGGGGCAAAGGTGAGGCCGCTCTCGGCGCGGCTGGGAGGCGGCGGCCCCCCGGCCTCGCCCCCGAGCCGATGACGTCACTGCCCCGGCTCCCAGCGCTGCGAAGTCCACCCGGCTCACTCCCAGCGGTCACAGACACCGACGCGGCACCCACGGTGTGCTAAGCACATTTTCCAAGTCCGGGGGATGTAAGACAACGGTACGTAGGATGTTGACTTCGCCAGCCCCTGGAGGAAACATCCAAGTAAACGTGTCATCCCTGTAACGGGAGGAGCGATCCACCGAACCGGTGACATTTGAGCCGGGTTCAAATGGAAGGAAGGAAGCGCGTGGGCACAGGCAGGGAAGGACTGTGACGGGAAGGTGCAAAGACTAGAGGCAGGACTCTGCTGCCTGCAGAACGGCTGGAGACAGAGCTGGAGAAGCGGACAGAAGAGCGGATCGGGGCCCCCACCCTAGACCCCGTCTCTCCCCACCCTACGATCCCTGGGCCGCCACCCACACGGGCCGCGGACTGTCCGATCTCTCCCGATCTCTGCGTCCACGTATCCACCTGCCTCCCCAGCATCTCCTCAGGATGTCCGAAAACACCCCAAACCCACATGTTCACAACTGCTCAGCCTTTCCTTCCGGATTTGCTTTTCCTTTCTCAGGGAATATTTTCCACCTCTACCCACATGCTCAAGCCAGAAACCTGGGGTCATAATTGACTCCTTTGTCGCCTATCCTAAGTTCTAGTGATTCCATTTCCCAAACAGGTCCCCAATCCGCCTGGGACTCCCCTCCCCAGTTTGGGTTGCTGGGGTTGCCTCCTTACTGTTCTCTCAGCCCCCAGCCTCCTATCCATTTCCCACTGCAACCCAAGGGCTCTTTCAAAAGGGTTAGCTGGTGATGTTACACTCCTGTAGAATACACTTCAGTGGCTCACCGCTGCTTTCAGGATAAAATGCAAACCCGTTAACACTCCTTACAAGCCCCGTGTGAGCTGATCCACAGGATAGGATTACTGCTCCTTTCTCTCCCCCAGCTGAAGAGGGAGAGAAGGCAGGCTTCTGCAAGTCAGAAGACAGTCCTAGGCAGAACCATGCCTTGCTGGCACCCTGACCTTGAACTTCGAGAAGTGTGAAAAAATATATTTGTTGTTCAAGCCACCTGATCTACGGTACTTATGGCAGCCCCAGCTGAGTTGAGTCTACTGTATTTCATTCTGTGACAATAGAAAGGCGCAAGTTACTGACACTCACCAGCAACGTGGGCGAATCTTAAGAGCATTATGCCACGTGAAAGCAGCGAGATACAAAAGACATAGATTCCATTTACATGGCAGTCTGTAAGAGGAAAAACTAGAGGGACATAAAGCAGACCAGTGGCTTCCAGGAGCTAGGGACGGATTTATGATTGCCCACGGCGGATGGGGGGAACAGAGAGTGACTGCTAATGGTCGTGGGCTTTCTTTGGGAGTAATGAAAATGTCTACAGTGGATTGTGGTGATGGTTGTACAACACTGAATACATTAAAAACCAGTGAACTGTACGCTTTAAATGTTAAATTGCGCAGTATGTAGATACACACACATCCCATAAGGGATGTTATAATAAGACCTCTCATTTATTATTTTTAAATACATCATTTAAGAAAGCCAGTCATTTCACTGTTCATGATTACAAAGATCTTGTAACACATCTTACACACCAACCTGGATCTGCCCTCGTTCCTGGACTCCATGAATGGGGACTGCTGCTTTGCATCTTAGCTTAACACGCTGAACACCCTTCAGTTCTTTCTGTTATCCGTCGATGTGGCTCGAATTCACTTTCTAAAGCTGCTCCAAAATTTCTGTGTAAGTGTTGTGGGGGCATAGTCTGGTCACATAGGAGGCTCGGGGATTTGTCCTGAAGCTGCATCTGCACAGCTGGCCCAAGTTTTCACTTAAAATTTGGAAGATGATGGAGATTGGACCCAAGGCTACTGCTTCTGGTTGGTTCTCTCCTCTGCTTCAACATGGGCCACGTAGAAATGGGCCTATATTCTTAAAATCTGCTTTATATTTTCAAGGCTTGTCTGTGTTCTCAAGAAGAAGTTAGTTGGCAATAACATTCTGTCTTTCTAAATAGAGCACATGAAAATGGATCAAGCTCCTTAGCAGTGTCTGCCAACAGGACTTCTTTCTTCATACTAAAAATGCCTACAGATGATTTTAAGGTGCCGCCTTCAGATTCCGCTTTCAGCTTATCTGTTCCTCCCCACGTGTTGTCATTTGTTTGCAAATCACAACCGTGAAACCTCAAACATTTATGGGTTATGCAAACAGCTTCCCTTGATATTTCTAATAACCACAGCTCTTATTATTACCAGATGTTGAAATCTCAAATGATGACAGGGACAGACTTTAAGGGTAAGATTATTTGGGCAGGAGAAATTGATATGTTTATTCTGAGATACCAGTTGTCTGACCTGGGTTTGTATCCAGGTTTTTTCACTTTTAGCTGAGATGACTTAGACCAATTCCTTCATTTCACTGCTCCTCTGTGTCTTCATTGTCAGAAAGCCGCGATGCCTTCCTTATAGGGTTTTGGTGACAAACGGGTGGGATGATATGTTGTATTTGTTGTCTACTGCTGTTAACAAATTACCCCCCAAAATTCAGCAGCTTGAAACATTTATTATCTCACTCCATTTCTGAGAGTTAGGAATCATGGTGTGGCTTGGCTGGGTGATTCTGGCTCAGACTGTCACAAGTTGCAGACTAGCGGCCAGAGGGGCACCATCTTGGGACTGAAGTGGGGCTGGAGGATTGGTTTCCAAGCGCACTCACGTGGCTGTTGGCAGGAGACCTATCCATATGGCTTCTCCCAAACAGTGATCAGAGAGACCGACCGAGGTAGAGGTACACCAAGACACACATCGCAGGCTTTTATATCCTAAACTTGGTAGTGATTATTTTCCAAAAGCGTTCTTTCAGACCTTGGCTGCCTCTATAGCTACACTAATAAATAAGGCTCCAGAGTCCAAAGTTCCTTATCTCTTCATGAAAGTGACTAAGGTGTGAGCTCTATTTGCCAAAGGCTCACCACTGTCAACTTTGTTAATGTCTAATATAAATACATTGTACGTACAATACACAAGGTGACCTTGAGTTTAATATTTTCTGCAATGCACTCTGACCTTCTCCCGCGTTGTCCCAATTAGTGAAATGTTACTCTCCTGATACTTTACTTGTGTTAAAATATTCATATTTCAGGCTCTTAGAGGAGACATGTATGATTCATGGGATTAATGGCAAAGGAACTTGCCTCCATTATCGAATTAACCTTGCATCTCACTAGCCTTCCGAATGCTGAAGGGAAGCTTGAGATTCACACATAAATATTGAAGTCTTATTCCGAGCTTAATAAAACATGCCTATCTTCCCAATATACTCACGCCCAGAAATGAACACAAGGACTTTCACTGATGCAGCAGAGCCTGCGAGTGCCCGAGGACACTATCTGAAGTCCCACCGGATGGCTGTTCTTCACTCTAGTGCCCCTGACCAGCCTTTTCAGAGCACTGAAGACTTTGTGGCTCGGGTGCTCTTTGCTGAGAGAAGATGACACCATCTCTGGCCTCACAGATTTAGTGAAAGACACTTGCCCCAGAGGCTGCTCCTCTATATGAAAAGGCAGGGTGATGTCCGTCTTAGTGCTTAGACAGGGGATTCCAACTGATCGCCATTAAGGAGTTCCTAAGAACTAAATCATCACCTGGCCCCCAGGCGACTCCACATTTAACCACACACACCATGAAACTATAAAGACAGCCTGGGGCCAGGCAGATGTCCCAGGCCTCCCTGGTCCCCCCCTTTCAGGCTCATTCCTGCCTCTCTGCTCTGCTGCCGTGTGCCTGCTGCTGGATGCATCCTCCTCATTTCCAAGACTCGACCCCAGTGGTTCCCAATCTTCAGCCCAATATGAAGTTTTTTGTGTTTTACAGCCAAATGAGAAACATGAGGGTGATGTCATGAGTTTTTCAGTAAGTCCAGTGGAAAGGACTCTTTATTCTGAAACCAGGTTTTTCTTTTTTGGTGTCAATGCGTTTCCTCTTACATGAAGTGATAATAGTTGTTGTTTGTTTGTTGTTTAACGCCCCATTTGGCTTCAGGGAACAGTGGCAGTCCCATGTGATGTCCCCGCTGTTTTTTCCTTGGTTCTTGAATCCAAAAGTCTGAGAACCACTGTCATATGAGACCAGTTCGATCTCCACCTCACTCTCGAGGCCTTCCCTGGTTATTCGGGGCTCCCTTTACCTTTCTTTTTTAAAAAATCAGTTTGGGTATTTTCTCTCTAAAGTGATAGTATATAGCGTACGACAATTGGTAAATTTTAAAACCTGGCCAGAAGAACCTCTATAGTCCTACTTCTCAGAGAAAATAAACAGTCTGAGAGACAGGCTTCTATTCTATTTTCTGAGTTTATCATTTAAGTTTTGAACTCGAATGCAGTTGTTTTGTGTAAGCTGTCTGGTGACTTGAATCCTGTCTAGTTCATGGGGAATTTCCCCCCCGTCTGTGCTTGGCCTCTGAGCCTCACCACACTTTGCCTCCTGCGGTTCCTGTGCTTTCCTGAGTCTGGACCCCCCTTCCTGTTCTGTGAGCATCAGGCGCCCTTGTGGCCTCGTCCACCAGCCTGGCTCAATCTCTTGCCCCTTGTAATGTTCAGTCAGTACTTGATGAACCTGCCAGCCTTTCGTCTCTTCTCTCCCCTGCTTTGTATGGCTGTGGGCACCAGGACTCAGCTAAATGAGATTCCTACAACAGTGAGAGCAGTGTTATTATTTTGTTCTGAAGGTCTTTACAAGCGTAAGGCATGTCTAAAGTGGCTATAAATAATTTATATTGTCCATAACTCAAGCGGATCAAAACAGA